CCCCCCCCCCCCCCCCAAACATATCTCACTTAATAATATAACCCCATAAGACCCACCAATGAAATCTATGTTCAAACTTTGTTTCACATGTCAAATCAGATTCCTAGTTAACTATAACAATTAAATATCAATAATACCCATTCTTTATCTAAAATATAAAAAAAAAAAATCTTATTTGCTTCAAAGTCCATAACTTTATAACCAAGAATGCAAAAGAGTTGAACTGTTTTTTTTTTTATATTTACCTCTGACTGATGTTGAGAAGTTGAGAAGATTGTGAAGAAGCAGAGAAGAAGAAACTCTGTCCATTGCTGTTGTTGTTGGTATTACCCTCCACCAGACCACCACGGCCGAAATTGACAGTGGCTGTGACGGCGTTGGTGGCGCTAGGAGTGGGGATTTCCACAGGCTTTCTTGAACGGTTGCGTCCACGGTGCATGTGACGTTCGCAATACTTGTGGCCCACCACAACGTCCCTCGAACATCTCCATTTCTTCCCGTCCGTTCTCCGGCACCTCCCCGGCTCGGGATCCATCGTTGCCCTTCCCCAATACCCTAATTATCATACACGGTCTTCAAACAGATCAAGAACATCGAAACAAGTCCATGATTTTCCATTTTGGAGTCTTGATGTCACAAAACAGATCAAGAATGCGGGCTTTCCTAATTAGCTTGATCCTATCTGATATAATAACTGTTAGATCCTCTTGAAGGGACATAAAACACTGTCGCTATTGTGTTTATATACAACGATCAAATCTTGGGAAGATGCAAGAAAAGAACAAGATAAATATATTAAAATAAAAAAAATAGAAGGAATAGGCCTTCGCATGATAGAAGACTACAAAACAGCGGTATGCGGACCATAAATTTACAAAAATGATATTATAATATAATAAACATAATATGGCATTATGTCATAACTCGAAATTCTCAATCTTGGAAAGACAACTCCAACACCACCGAGATAAGAGACGACATGCTCATCAGATGGGTTTCTCATATAAAAAAAAAAACTAACACCATAGAAGACAGACTTTGCCTTCACCAGAGTGAATTGATGGAAACATATCCTCATCAAACATAGAAAAAGACGAGAGAGAGAGAGAAACTTACAAGGAGGCTGATAGTGAGGAGACAAGTGTTGAAGAGGGTGATGAAGGAAATAGGAAGGAGAGTGATGAAGAAGGCTTTTCTTGATGGGCAGAAGGAGCTCGTGAGGAACAGCAGCGCCGGCCAACATGTATCTGTAGATCAGTGCTTGTAGTTCAAGCTCTTGCCACTGACTCCAGCTGAAGAAACCCCCCATCTCTGCAAATTTCAGACAAGCACAACCCAGACCCAAATCAGTAAAACCCAGATGAGTAAGCCAAACAAATGTAAGAAAAGTGTGCCCAGAAAAAGAACATTGCTTTCAGAAGAAGAAAAATACTTACTTGGGGATCTGGAGGAAGATTCAAGAGCAAAACCTGACAAGGAGGCGAGTTTAGAAGAGGTAGCTTCAGGTTCATGAGCAAAGAGAGGGAGTGCAGCAGAAGTCGCAGTTTGGGATTGATCAAAGACAAGTTTTGGTATCTTTGCTGCAGAAGCTTGTGTTTCTGACTCATTCTGCTGCTGCTGCTGCTGGCTTCTCCATTGCTTCAGTTGCAAGTCCATGGGGGAGAGAGAGATAGATTCTAATAAGCGAAGGCAACAACAAAGTCTTGTCTGTTTGATTTTTGAAGAGCCAAAAAAAGACTTTTTTTCCTATAAGAAAAGCTTGGTTCTCTGTAGGCAGATGTTGTATCTGAGCTTCTTTAACAGAGAGAGAGAGAGAGAGAGAGAGAGAGAGAGAGAGAGAGAGAGAGAGAGAGAGAGGGGTTAGAGACTTTGAGAAAAAGACAGTGAGACAAGACAGTAGAGAGGAAGTATATAATGTCTAATTCTATTATATTATTGATTATTATATATATATATATATATACATGTTGATAAGTATTCTGATAATCAGATTTTTTTTTATTTTTTATTATAAATGTGTAATTATGTGAGTCAGAAAACCCAGAAAGAACCACTGCAGGATGCAGATGGAGAGATAATAACCTGCAGTTTTTCTGTCTCACACTGCCTTGGAAATACCACTTCGCATATATCTCTTTATTTATAATACACACAAATCTAAATTTAAAAACCTCAAAATTATTAATGAATAAAACCAATAATAGTATTCCATGATCTGAAAAGAACACCACATATGTATCTTTGTGTGTTGTAATGCGATTTCTGTGACAAGATAACAAAATGTATTTGAGATTATTTGATAGGAAAATAATTTATTTCAATTATGATAGTTTTTTAAATAAATAAATCAGATTCTAAAAGGTTAGCTATTTCAGTTACGTTACATGTCTCGTCCTCTCTTAATTTATGACCAACGTGTTTTATATCTTTAATAATTATGCTTGTGTGTGGTTTTCTTACACCGTTAGTTTCTAGTTTCAAATAGGTGTGGATATATTAGGTTTTTGGTACGATTTGGTTCCATATTTTCAATTTATTATTAAATTTTTTAAAAAACATATTTTTTAGATTTGATTAGAATGTCAAAATGAACTCAACTCGTTAGTAGATTGGTTAACGATTCGTTTTTTTAGATAAAATGAACTGATATTTATAAAACTCGTTTATAAACGAGTCTAGAACTGGTTTGTAAGTTGAGATATTTTGTATAAAAAATTATATATTTCATATTTTTATTTTTATTTTTATATATATTATTAAAAAAAATTAACACTTCATTTAATTTTATATTAATTATATATGTATAACTTACTTTGACACTCCTAGATTTGATTCGATTATATTTTTATTTGCATTCAATTTTTATTAATACAAATATTGTTCTTTGAACAACATATCTTTTTTATTAACTGGATTGAATTTTTAAATTTTAACTATATTATACTATTTTATATATAATTATATTATTCAGTTTTAAAATAAATTTTGTTAGAATATAATTAGATATTATCCGAATTAATACATCAAAATACAAGTAAAAATCCAATCTTTAATATAGATAATTAAAATCATATGATATATAATATAATGATTTCTACATCTGCTTAGCTTCGTATTTTTAATGTTCGCATCATGTTCGTTTGCTATGATTTACAAAAGTATGTGTGTTCTTTGACCATATTTTTTTCCAATTCATTCAAAACCTTAACCGTTTATTTGATTATGATGTATCTAATATTATAAATTTATAATAATGATATAGAGTATAATTTTACAATTATTTTATCGTTTTATGTCAAACTTATCATGACGTTTTGATTCGGGTTAATATAAAACAATTAAATTGCACTGCAATACAATTCAGAAAAAAAAAGAACTTGTATTACAAAAAAATGATAAGATAATTAGTTAGAATTAATTATATAAAATCGAAGAAATCTATACCGAATTATATATGATTGTATTTAAATTAAATCTGAAATAAAAACAAATTATATAGAATTTTAAAATAACAGAATCAAATTCAACTAAATACAAAAATAATATAAAATTTTCAATAGATTTTTAAAAATAATATTTTTATGAAAATCTAATCCCAATTGGTATATTTTATTTAAAAAAATTAAATTAAAAATTAAACGCCAAAACCGAAAGATCCATTATGGATCTTACTGAAACCTTCTACCTGAGCTAGAAGCAATGAAAAGCGACGACAACAAAATAATATCGGCTCTTTATATTAGAAAAATAAAAAGCATCAGCCTCCGAATAGGGCGCAGGAAGTGGGTCCCACGAACAATTGGTGGGTAAGATCTCTGACGTGTCTGCCCCTTCTGTTTCTCTTTATTTACGTTTCACGCCATTTGCATTTATACCATTTTAGGCATCCTTTAATTTATTTATTTTTGTTATCCTTTAGCCCGCAGGTTTTATGATATAAATTAAAATTGACTTGAATGCGATAATATATAGTTATACTTGAATTAGATATAATTTTAAAATAAACAAATAGAATTTTTACCTAACAACTTAATTGAGACCAACTTTAAAAATATAAAACTTTTTAAAAATTGTAATTTGAATCAAATTCTAATAAAATTTAAATTAAATTAAAATTTAAAATAATAATAATAATCTTATATAATCTAATTTTCAAAAAAATGAAAAAAAAATGAACCTGTACACGTATGAAATATGAACAGACATAATAGTTGTTAAATGCGCATATCTAGATAATTAGTGATGTTTTTCTACTTTCCAAAAGACAATTGTCACAACTTTAGATAATGATTTAAAATGTATCATAATAATTTTGTTCTCTCTTTCTATATTATTTTATAATTTAACGTTTTTCGTGTTGTAATAGAGTGTCAAATGGATCTGTCCGATCCGATTCGAGCTCATAATTCGGTTTGAAATTTTCTTATTTGAATTCAGGTCTGCCTCATTTTTTTTCGAGTTTATATAATCAAATCCGATCCTATAAAACTTGGATTTGGGTTCGGGTTGACTTTGTTCGGACCGTTTCATTTCTTCTTTGCAATTTTTTTTTGTATTATCGTTTTAAAAAAAATTAATTTAGACTTTCGTAGATTTGAAATCTGATTTGAATACTACTCAAAAATTAAATTCGATATTTTTCGGATCGACTCGAATCATACATCAGATTTTAGGTCTAAATTAATATCATTTTTTTTTTGTTTTACTATAGTGATTGTTTAAATACAAAAAATATACGACGGGTCTCAAATACGAGACCTGTTTAAACGAATTCCAGCCTCCTTTAGTAAATACAAACGGGTTTTCGTTTTAAACACCAAAAATCAACGAAACTCCTCATGTGATCAACAAATACTAGATTTTAAAAGCGAACAAAAGAAGAGGAATAAATAGTAAACTACATTTTTAAGTTTTAAATCAGTCACTGTAAAAAATATCTTTTTGTTTTCATTTTGAACAAATGATTTAGATGATTCAAATTTTAAAATATATTTGTATTGATATTAATCCAAATATCAAATTCAAAATTGAATACTTATGATTAATATATGTAAATATGCTTTGTAAGAAGTTCTATAAAATTACGATGACTGAATATTGTTGAAATAGATTAAAAAAACATATCTGTTATGTTATAATATCAAAAAGAAAATAGATAAAGATTAGAAATACCATTTTTTATCTGCGTGGGAGTCCAAACACAATATATAACTAAGTATTTGATTGATTATATGTCTATAACAAAAACCATAGAAGAACTTAATAAAATTTATATTATAAATTCAATAAAATATTTTAAACAATCTTGTTATGTTTTTTAGATTATTACCATTAGATAGTTTATTGTAAATATAACAATGATTTAATATATATATATATATAATAAAAATCAATGATTTTATAAGGAAAATCGAATATCTATAAGAGTTTTAGATTCGAATTCTAGTATTAATCGACGAGAATCCATACCAACTAATATAATATATCACATGACTTATCAATCCCTCATCCCTATATTTTTTTTTTTTTTGCATTGTTTGACTTACTTTATTTTTTATGATTTGACATTTTGTATTTGTCGATTAAATAACGTAGATATCCAAATATTTAAAATATTTGTAAACGCTGAAGACAAATAAATCCGACCATAGATTTCAAATATCAAAATACCAAAAAATAAAATAAAATCGGATGCACGGCTGAATGTCTCCAAATTTTGGCCAAGTCTAAATTAGAAAAATGGGAACGATTTCTAAAATAATTTTGATATATATATAAATATAATATAATATATACAGTAAGGGGTAAAAAGGTAAAAAAGGAGAGTGGGGGGGGGTTGTCAGAGGGGGAAAAAAGCATAGAAGTGAGTAACAACTGTGTGGTGGGGGATTGTCTGTGACTCACCTTCCCCTCTTCTGATGTGACCACTCTTCGTACCCTTTTCCCCTTTTTTCAAATCTACCCTCTCATTTCCCTCATCTTCTCATTCTTACCCTCAAACTATGTTTTGCTAATTTTTAATCCCCATCAAACCGAGACACAAACTTGTTACATGTATGTTTTTTTGGGGGTGAATTGTTACAATTTTGGAACAGTATATTATGGAAACAGATTTATATTAGTTTATTAGGATAGTATGATTTTTTCCTTTAACTTGTTAGTTAATTTCAAAATTCTTTTTTTTTATTAATAAAAATATTGATTTTAAAATTCCAATTTTTAAATTATTTATATTCAAAACGAAATCAATCTGCATATATTTTTTCAATTTTGAATTATATATACTAAAATTTATTTCAGAATTAATTCCAAATATTTATAACTTGGTTTTGTATAATCATACCGAAATATTTCACCTTTCCATATGCATTACACTAAACACCCGAAGAAGAGTTCACATGTCCAAGAGAAGACAAATACGTTTTCTGACACATTGTGTCAGATCATTTATGACTATTTTTTTTTTTTTTTGAGTCAGACATTAAGATTAAAAAAATAAGAAAAAAACGTTAACGCGTTTATTACAAGACAAAAGAGGCTCTCTGGGTTGATTCCACGTGGAGGTGGGACCCATCCTTTTCCTTTTTTTCTTTCTGTTGGGACAATTTTTTTTGTAGTAAAAGGCAAGTCACGCCGGCACGCGAGGCCTCACGTGCCGTCACGTGCTTCATTATTCTCCAGAGACCACCTTCTCTCTCTCGAGCTCGCGCATCCGTATCGTATATACATGCACAAATATATGGGCATAATATGACTATCACTATGGGTTAAAATTTCACGCTGTATTTTATTTATCTTCGCGTGTGTAATTTTTGAATCAAATGTTATGTATTTAATTTTTATTTTAGTTTAGTT